GCTAATAATTAGGCATAGTAACTGCTCCCCACTCTTTCAAATTACCGCTAACTTCTAGACCGAGTGGATCCAGCTTAAGCCCAAGAACAGAATTCAGCTGGCCCATATCGGCAGCTGTGGCCTGTTTCCTTCTTCTCACATATACTTTAATTGGGCCTTTATCAGTTTGTCATGGGGCAGATTCCAGATCTCACCCATAACCATCTCGTGGTCACAACGGAGTTGGAAACGAGGGAGGAGAAGAATATAGGGGAGATATGATGAAAATGGAGACTCATTCGATCATTGTGAAAGCGATTCAACTAGGTTTGGGTATGACTGCAGTCAGAACCAATATTCGTTGATTTACAACCGTTGCCGATTTCTCCAACCATTGAATCTTAATCATTTGATCATTAGGTTAGACAACCATTTCGAGCAACTGTTGCTCTCAATGAGAGAATCAGACGTTGGATTCCAGTTTGTAACAACTGAGAATGAAAAAGCGGGGAATAAAGCTCATTAACGGGAACTGCTTCACCGCCATCACCACCTCCGCTGTCGCCACCACTTACTACCATCACCGTCCACGCAACAATCATCATCACTCATTGATGACGAAGCTGGGTTAAAGGCGTTCATGTTGCTGCCTGTAAAAAAGAAAAGTTCCATACAGAAAACGGATCATTTCATTGGGGTCATTTGCCTCGTTTTCTGGATGAAGTTAAGATGCAGTTATGGTTATGGACGTGTCCACTTGGAGGCGACCAAGGTGTTATTATCTCGATTAAAGGTTTCTTTAAAGCCAACATATTGGATAAAGTGGTTAAAGTGGAATACAAAGTGGTTTCCCTTGTATAATAGTTGTTATAATGTCATAAAAAATGAGAGAATTACAAATAATTCATATATGTTCTTCCTTAATCATTTTTGTCTCTAGGAAGTTCATGTGATAGAGAGCGATGAGAGGGTTCTGGTGTTTCGGGGTTATGGCAATTTTTCTAGAACACCATGGTGGAAGGTCCTGGATGACTTAAGAATTCATGAAAATGTCGCGTGCAGATCTCGAGTTGTTGGTATCATTTTTGAAAGGCGCAGTTGGGGTTTGTAGTGAGGGAAGAATCATATTGGGATCTATGCTGTTAATTGTGGCGCAATAGTGCCACGATTGCGGCGATATCTCGGGTAGCGGACATTAGCAAAATAACGGTGGTTAGATTGCGGTTTAAATTGCGGTAGCGCAATTGTCGCCGCAATTTATCGCAATTTTGTCCGATATTTAGGGTCAATTGCGTTCGATATTAACTCTACTTTTTGGGGGGGTTTGGGCTTTATTTTCAGTCTCTATGTTTAGATAGTTGGGCTTTATTTACAGTCTTTCTTTTTTTGGGCTTTATTTTTCTTAAATTTAATATTAACATAAGTTGGAAGAACTAGGTTTCTCTGTCGACAACCTGTTTTAGTCTTTAGACTATCTGTTCATCTGGGCTCTGTTCGGCGATCTCATCTGCTTTAGACGACCACGACCCACGAGTCTCAGGCTCTCAGCTAATGTTTCCAGACTTCCAGCTTCTAGCTCTTGTTTCCAACTTCTATTTCCAGCTTCTGTCTCCAGGTACCACAAGTCTGTAGAAGGGGAAGAGTGGGAAGCTAGCCTAAACGAAGAAGTGAACGTATTAGATGATCTTGACTCAGATGCTGAACCTATTGCTTGCAATTAGCTCGTTTATGAACACTTTTCCTATTTTGCAAATGATATGTTTATGTAGGCATATTATATATAATTATATATAATTCTAAGAAATATTATATGAACTGCTATTTTTGGACCGCTATACCACCACTATAACCACTATTTCAAATATCAATCCCGACCGCAATTTTGTATTTTCACCACTATAACAACATAGATCGGGATGGAAGAGGGTTAAATTGACGGACACTAGGCCTTGTCGCAAGTTGGTCAAAGCTTTTCAAGGAGCGACCATTATTGTGCGCGTAGCAATCTCCGATGATGCGCGTAGCCATCTCGACACAACAAAGGAAGCCATTACAGTTGGTAACACGGGCGATGCATATCGACTCATTCTGTGTATCTGGCCGAGATTTCCTAAACTTCCAATATTTAGCATAAGTCTTATGCTTGAAATATACGGCGTTCTTGCTAGGATGAGCGACAACTTGGCCGACTTACACATGCTTCATAGACTATTTACCGATCTAAAACCGTTCTTTGATAACGATCGGATTGTTAATAATTTGGATGATGATGAGAATAGTTTGTGGCAAGAAAATCTGGACGAGTCTATAAATTGGCAGTATTACATGAGTGGACTTGTTGAAACCCTTGGACTCTGACTTTGGTTTTGAAAAGAAAGGATGATAGGAAGCTGAATTGCAAGGGCTTGACTTTAGTGGCAGCTGGTTGGAAAGCTGTTGTAACCGGGCATCAACAGTTTATCTATTTTTTTCTACCCACTATGAGGACAAGGTGGTTCTTTGAGGGCAGGGTAATGTCATGTACCCACCTTGGGCCCAAGCCTGTTCATACTTGTTATTCTAGAAGGGGCTAGAAAGGGTATTCTGGAGACCTACTTGCAATAAATCTAATATAAAGAGGGATGATGTAGGTGGTGTAGGCATGCAGAAAATTATCAGTGTGTTTTCTTAGGAGAGCTCTGGTCTCTTGAACAGTCAGAAACCTCTTGTTTACTGTAGAATTACAACAAATCCTTTGATAATTACCGGTTTCTTTTATCGTTTGTTTGATTCTTGATTTGGTTTCATAAAACAATTCAAGTAGATTCTTCTTTCTCACCATTATTAAGAAATCTAGAGGGACTCCCGACATAGGGACCGGCCGTATTCTGCGTGGTAATGCTTTCCACTCCCCGACTGCACCATTTATCTACTGTTTTGTTCTTCCATTTATACGTAGGGTGTAGCAACTGGTATTTCAAATAGAGTAAATGTAGAGACATGTAAATCCATGTTGAGAACTGTAGATTTTGTAGTTGATATTAAGTGGAAATTGAGAGAATCAGAGGTGTGTTGTATTGTTTACTGAATAGTACACCAAAATAAGCCTGCCCTTCATAAGTAGCGCAGTTTACATTCAAGAATTATTTCACAAGAAAATGCCTTTTATTTGAAGGCACAATAATGTTGCATTTCCTGACATCAGAGAAATGAAGCTTGTATTCTTTGCTTATTTATAAGTTGAAACAAATAATAATCAATGTTGACTATTCATGTTATTGAATCAAATTCTGTTCTTTGAAAGAGGATTGTACCTCTGGCAATTCTATTGAATCAAATTCTTCCTAGACTTGGAAGAGAAAAGGCAAGGTGCAGCATAGGATTATCTGTTAAGAGATCTCAATGCAAAATATCCATATGCTAATATGCCCCTTATCAACGTACTTTATGCCAAGTTAGTTGGGGTCGCCAGAATTTACAGCTTTTCGAAACAGTTCAAGTTAATTGAAAACATGTCACACCAGTCTGAAGTCCAAAGCAATCCCATATTGCAGATTCCCTTGGTTAACTACAGGTTATTCACTCATCTTCATTGATGTAAATACTGGATTACCTACATTGTATCTTATAGCATTGACTCCCGTATCAATACAAAACAGTTACGCTATTTTTAGTTATTGAACTGCCGTAATTTTGTTTTCATGAACTTCAAATCTTCAGGATGCTCCGGTACTTAACTTGTTTTCATGGCTTTAGCTCTGTCTCAATTATTACTAAACAGTATTGTGCTATGCAATACAGGGATGGTGGAGTGGAGGATTTAATTATGGGCTATGGATCGGGGTCCTAGTTGCATCTGAAGTTTCTGTTGTCCCAGTTCCATCTATGCGATGGAAACAGGAGTTCAAACTATGTGGGAATGGCTCGACAAAGGTTTGATTTGCTCCTTAATATTGAAGAAAGTATTTGCAAAGAAGCATCTTTTTTCTTTTCTTTTGCAAAGGTACTCAGTGATTCAAAACTGTGACCTCTGAGTCAAAGCTCCAACTTTTGTTTCTCCTGGCTGTTAGAGTTTGAATAGATTTCTAGTTTAAAACAGGTATGTCAAGATTAGGATAAGCTTATCCTTATTAGTAGTTAATCGTTGGGGGTTATACTGTAACCTTTATGTATAAATAGGCGCATTATGATCCATCAATAAGAGATGGAGGAAAAAATAAGGTTCTCTAATAAATTACACAACCATTTTAGTATTTTTAAGGTCTAATTTAGGAGCAATGAGTCCATCTTTGACTTGTATGATTTAAATGGATGATTTAGAGCTTTAAATTGATGACAATTGTTTTGGCTACATTAATCTATATAAACACTATTTGTCAAAGAACAGTTTCCAAGAGCTACATGAACAGCTCAACCCTTGGTACTTAATATAGTGGCCACAACCTGCTCAAAATGGAAGGGACTTTCCCTCTGAGGGTAGGAAAATCATCATCGAGATAGCGGACAGAAAGCTAACGGAACTTGGTGTGGGTCTTTTGTCGGACCTCTTACGGCAGTTGACATTGACAGTGGAAACAGATCCCCATGCTACTCTGGTCAGAGCGTAAGTTACTGATGGATTCGGGACAGATATTAAATAAAAAGGCCATTTCATTTCGGCCAAAGACCCACACCTAAGTTCCATAGCGTTGGGTTCGCTATCCTGATCATGATGATCAGCCAACTGGGACACTGCCCAGATTCCTGCGGGAGGCAGCAGTGGGGAGTTTCCTGCTAAACATAATTTAGAAAGTATTGGGTTGTATTTTCAAAAGCAAATGTTGATTGTCATTACGATACAGAGGTAGTAACTGTTAACTTTTACTGTGTCTTGAGAATACATTTTTTCAATTGGGTACATTCACAAACTAAAAACACTTTATACCAATCCACATTTTAAGCAGTGCATACTTTCAAAGTAGAATAGCAACATGCTTTAGTTTTTGTCTTTGCAGGCAATGTACTTTCGTCCTTTTACGCAAAATAGCAACATACTTTGAATTACATCATTTCAGGATTTAAATATGGATGAAAAGTACATTACTTAAAGTATGAATTGGCTTAAAGAATTTTGTTATTGTGTGCATTTTAACACATTTAAATTTAGGAAATTAGTATCTTTTGAAATCATCTGGTTTGTAGTTTTTTCTAGCTACCCCAGATTGTTTCATCCTCTTTTAATTTGTCAAATATGATGGCAGGATGATAGCAGAGCACTTGCATGCACCCTATTTCCAACGTTAACTTCATCGCTGAGAAGGAAAAAGGACCATGGTACTTGCTCGTCTACTTCATAATAGTCTAATTATTTTTTTTGAAGTATATAATATTTATATACAGAAAATGCAACAAATGAACTTACACACTCTCATCACCTTTGGTAAGGTTTGAACCCTTGACCTCCTAGGAGGCAAAAGATTACGATACTACTAGGCCAAAGGCCCTTTGGTTAATAATCTAATTATTTATATTTACAATTTCAAGCGTATATTGCAATTTGCATGTTATGAATATGTATTGTTTTTCAAACAACTCATCCAGCCGTTTAATAAGTTAATCGACAATCAAGATTGGTTCATTCCAGTAACTATATACATGGTTGGACTGTCCGTCCGCTTTAAAATTCAATCTTGGTGGTTGATTTGCTTATTTAGGCCATGTTTGACAAGCTTATCTTTTGAGCTTTACTGAAAAAGCCACATTCAGTTAGCTATGAACTAAATATTTGGAAACCTACTTCAAGTAGCGTTTCAATAAGCTCCAGGGGCTTTTTCTTCCAATCAATTCTTTTAACAGCTAGTTTTTACCATACATGACTAGTTTATCAAGCTTATTGGCCAACATGTAGCTTTTCAACTAAGAGCTAGCTTATCAGCTAGTTCGCCAAACATAGCCTTAATGGTTTTGAACAAGTTGGTTGCAAGTGATCCCCAGCCAGTCGGTGTCAATAATGTATTCATTTTATGCTCATGTTAAAGTACCCCATGAGTCATTTTTGTTCTTATTCATCAATCATCCATGTTATGCTTTCATTGATTCTTGCAGGTCGGGCTGAGGCTTTGCTCATTGCTGCATATGGAAAAGGCATAAAATTGAACTCAAAGTCGTTAATCCCCATTGACACCGATACTACTACATAGTAGTCGCCTGCTACTCATGCTCCAAATCTTACATGCCTTGCTGCAACTTGAATATGCATAGTGAAGCCGATTAAGTGATGCATCTGTTAGGAATCTAATTAATTAAGCCGACCTATACTAATGTAAATGTGGCATCGATGCATATCGAGTTTGGACATGTTTGTGATGTATGTAATTCACGTTTGTTGTAGCATGTAGTTTTAGTTGAAAAGTAGGCCTTTTGAATATTGGAAGCAACATTTTTATCGAAATGGTGTAATTTAAATTGATTCGTTTTGCCAATAAGCTCCAATTACATCATAGGTATCACAAAAGAAATGGTTAATCTATTCAAGATAATTTTAGAACGATGTGGTAGAAAGCAACTTGCGACTTGAAGGACACGATCCGGGGAGAAAACGGGGAAATCCCATATGACCCAATATATACTTTTATGAACACATATGTCATCAATTGTGAAGAACGATAAACCATCCAAGTATTTTGTCTATATCGATTATTTGGGTGCCATTAGACCAATGATCCTTTGGAATCAGAGCCATCTCTACCAATCCGATTTCCCATCCTCCTAAAACTACATGTCTATCATCATATTCCTCATAGGTGAAGAATCTATTGTTTCTGGTCATGTGGTTTGTGTTTTTATTGTTGAGGATCCATTCATGATCTTCGAGTTCATGTTTAAGATACATGTACAACCACGAACACTGGATTGGATCATAATTTTGATCGGTGATTGTATTGATATAGAGAAAGAATGAATTAAAAACCTAAGTTTCTATCACAGTTCTCCTACGTGGTGGTCTAATGTATCTTATACTTGCATGGGCCACTATAAGAAAGGTTTACGTACGTCTTATTCTCTTCAGTCCTTATTCTATGTGCAATTTACTGTGTTAATTTTGGATTCTTTTGGTTTTATTACATTAGGTGTTATAGTTGTTTGAGCATTAAGAATTTTTAAACCTCAAAAATTGTTATTTCAAAAGAGACTTAGGGGTCGTTTACCAAACACTTATCCGGGTACGTGCTTACCAAGTCACGTTATCTCATGGGATGAATATGGTAAGGACCAAGAATCTTACCCGGTAAGAATGAGACAAGAACCAAGAGTCTTACCCGGTAAGTGAGGCGATGACTCTTACTACGGTAAGCATTTACCTGGGTAAATTGTTGCATACGATGTCGTTTTGGTGGACTAAAATCTTTCCCGGTAAGTAAATGATAAGAGTTAAATTTTACCGGTAAACACTTACCGGGTAAGTGTTTGGTAAACGGCCCCTTACACATACCCAGCAAGGGAAAATGATTCGTAGCTTATTAGATTGTTACTAGGTCGTATTTAATCATTTTTATGCCATAATAAATAGAATGATATAGGACATGCTTATTTGGTAACAACTGTTATCAACTTTCACCACTGCTCTTGTTAATTTGAATTTGAAGTAATAGCTTGGATAATTTAGATTTTCGTAGTTCAAGGGAAATAGAGTTATGACTTACTTATAGTGCAAGATTGAAATGTTGGATGCTAGGAGGCCTTAAATTAGTTACCGTTTATGTCAAAAATTACACAAAGCAATTTAAGATTGGATTGCAGGGCGAATCAACTATAACTATAGATTGAATCTTTGAAACAAACAAGACTAAAATAAACAAGACAAAAAGTATTTTGGTGACGTAGAAAACCCAGACGAGGGTGAATACACTATGACCGTTAGTTACAGATGTCGTCCTTAATAACAACGATGACTATCACAAGACGTGGTTTATAAAATGATTGTACGTAATCATGTGTAAGGAATATAAACTTCGGTAGCCCGTAAATTCTTTAGAGAGAACTTGAGAGAAGAGGATTCGATGTTCTTCGATATCAGTTTGATCATTTTCTAAATGTCTTTATCTTCTTATATGTAAGTGAGGATTTGTCACTGTCAATTAATGGTCATAATGGTTGTAATGGTCCTTGTGTTGATGATGTAATTGAATCTTGGTCGTCGATTACGCGGAATATTGATGAGAGAATATTCATTAAAAAAACTACAGTTATGAGTAAGTCCTGCAATAAACAAGAAAGATAAAGGTTGCCGAGGTTAATCAATATAAGCGATAATCATGGTTATGCATGATCGTATGTTGGGGATATCATGGTCGATGTTAATATCTTAGTCTTAGAGATTTATTCTAGTCGGACTTGTTTAGGTTTTTGTTACCTAAACAATTTGCCACCAAGATTTGAATTACAAATTCGCTCCAAAAATTCAATTTCTATGGATAAACTGACACATGAAACTGATTCGGTTTCTAAAGAAACTAAATCGGCTTGGAAGAAACGAAATCGTCGATTTTGATGGGGCGTGCGTGCATGCAGGACATTGTGTGTTAGTTTATAGCTGTAGATGGAAATGCGTCGTTGATCCGTTGGGAGATGTGAACCGTCTGGATAGATGTCACTTATTGATGAACCTGACCTACATAATCATGACTGTATTTTGAAAATCAATATAAATCTCGATTTCTTTTCTTGAGCATCCCTTTTACGCCTTGGAACCAGAGTGAAGAATCTTTGCCATATTCACATTCTACACAAGATCAATCTTTTGGAGGCTTACATAGTATAAAAGGAACGATTTTTAGTCTTTGCATGCCCCCTATTAAGCATATATCGGTTAGAAACCTTTATAGTGCTTCTATTTCTATTTAAGATTGTTGAGAGATCGTTGAACCACCTAGCGTGATTGAAGAACTAAGCCTTTAGGCTTTATCTGGGTTACCCTAGGACATCGACTTATCCTGTCCTGGGATTCGGTCGGAAGAGTGTTCGGAGGGATGGTTCATTCTATACGAATACCCTTTCAAGATTGGCTTCATTTGGCCTTTCTTTTCCTTATCAAGGGTGTTCTTGAACGTTTTTGATCTTTCTCTGGGGCAAATGATGCCCAGTTTTGGAGAATGGTTAGCGTTGTTGATAAACTGGCTGATCCATGAACTCTTATCAGCTTATACCGTTAAGTTTGAGAGTAATCACTTGTATAACCTTTACATCAAAGCTAGCGGAGGTAGGATTCTGGTCCCAAGAACTTCTGTTAAAGATAGAAAGTGGAAGATCAAATATGTCTTGGGTAAGGTGTCGTCCTTAAGAGATGAAGACCATTGGCTAACATCCGGATGGAACACAAATGATAAGTGTTGCATTTTATCTATGCCATCTTTATTATTTTCTTTGATCATTGATGACTAATCATTTTTGTACTTAATGTTTCTTACATCAATCGAAACTTGATAAGTTCCTTTGATTGCCAACATGGATTTCACCCAAGCAACAAAGAGTCAGTTGTTGATAGACGAGGAGGAAGACGACATGGAATTTATTGGCTAGACCAACCCTGTTGAGAAAAAGAAGTCAGGAGAAGAGGTAGAATTAGCTGGTAATACTTTGTTCCTTTTGTAATGTATATTGTATATTATCCACAACAATTGAGCTAACATCGACTTTATTGATAGGTGAAGAGGGATTTGGAGAAGCTTCATGTAGGATCGATTTCTCAGTTACTAAGTATGAAATACTTACTTGAATGATCTGTTGACAGAGATAATGCAGTGGAAATGATTTAAATCAACTCAAGTAGAAAACAATAAGAACACAGATGAAGATTAATGAAGAACACAAGAGAAGGCTTCAAATGATTTTCAATTCAATGAAAATATTGACAATTACAATACTGAAGCACACTGAAATACAAGGGCCTACGTTGCTATTTATACAAGCAAGTAACCGTTTTTCTGACATGACCTAAAGGAAATTAATCTAAGCCATTCGATCAAAAACGAATTACAGACAAGAACATGTGATAGGCACGAGCAGCTAAAAGACCTATGTAAAACAGCTTAAAGATAATCTACACAGAAGACATTGCTGCAGACCCTCTGTGAGACAACACAGAGGCTCTGCTGGATATAACTTGGAGGCGCATTGACATAGAGGAAAT